TCAGCATCAATTACCAATGATGAGGACTGGAGATGTAGCCCAGTGGTAGAAAACTTGCCTAGGGTGCACAAAGCTCTGGCTTCCTTCCCTAGCACCCTAGCCCCAAACTATCAATGATGATGAATCACATTATATATATATATATACACACACACACATACATATATATTAGATGTTAATAGACCTTTATTTTATTCATTTATTTATATGTGGTGCTGAGAATCAAACCCAGTGCCTCATACATGCTAGGCAAGCGCTCTACCACTGAGCCACAACTCCAACCCAATGAATCACTTTTTATATTACAGAGAGCTTCCTGGGCATTTTTTAGAGATATCTAAGTCCTATGATGATGTTGTCCCCACATCAGAATAGAAGGCTCAAAAATACTCGGTCAGTGGCTGGGGTTGTGGCTCAGTGGCTTGCCTAGCATGTGTGAGGAACTGGGTTCGATTCTCAGCACCACATATAAATAAATAAAGATAAAGGTCCATTAACAACTAAAAAAAAAAAGTCACTGGTTGGGTTGTAGCTCAGCGGTAGAGTGTGTGCTCAGCGTGTGTGAGGCCCCAGGGTTAATCTCCAGCACCAAATAAATAAATAACCACAACAACACCCCTTCAAAAAACCCCAAGCACTAAGTGGTTCAAGTCACAGTGATTGGTTGTTCAAATCACAGAGTGATTGGTAGAACTGATACTTTCATTTCTCAAACACCTCAAGGACAAACATCTCCATCATTTTCTATTTGCCTACAGGATAAAAGCCAAATTCCCCACTAGTAGGCAAGGTGCCATGCTATCTTCCCAACCTTATCTCCTGCTGGGCTCCAGCTTGACTCCTCTGTTCCAGACTGGCATGTCGGCATCTTCTTCCCCAACCCACAGGCTGGCATCCAATGCTTAGCTTTCAATTTGCTGTTCCCACGATAGAATGTCCTGTTTTCACCTTTATGCCTACGCATATCTCTTGAGACTACAGGGTAGTTCAGTCTTCTTTATGCCTGTTCAGATCCTGTGCAGCATGGATGTTGTATGGTAGTTGTGTTCCATGTCAAGTGAAGTCCCTCATTAAGTGCTCAGGCCCTACTTGTCCCACTTCTCCCTTGATTCCTACTGCTCATATCAGTCTTGGGACACTGATCACATACCGCTGTACACCAGCTGACTCACAGCTGCATACTATTGGGACATGGAAAGCTGACTATTTCAATTTATAGAGTATCTCACTACATACTTGTGTGTGTGTGTGTGTGTGTGTGTGTGTGTGTGTGTGTGTAGAGGAAGAGAAACAGAGACAGAGCCAATCCAGAGAATTTTCCATTGACTGTTTCACCAAGATCCGAGGCAAAAATAGCTATCCCTCAACAAAATGCAAAGCAGATAGAATTTATCACTGGTGCCTTGTAAAATAACTTTCCCTCCCCACGGGTTCTTCAAATCTGTAGATGTGTGTGCATATGTACCTTGCTTTCTCCTATTTTCTTTCCAATGTGGAAATACCAACAACAGACAGATAACCTTTCTAAGCACTTTGTAAGTATTAACTTAGTCTTCCTAAAAACCCTCAGAGGTAGGCATTATTATTATCCTCTTTCCTTTTACAGATGAAGACACTGAGTCACAGAGTGATTAAATAACTCTCCTAAGGTCTCTTAACTGAGGGTCAAAATTAAGCATTCAGTTAATATGCCATGTACTGCCTCATCAATAAAATGATGCATTTTTTTCTGATAGTGAAAATAATGCCTATTGAGTGTTTAAAAAAAATCAGAGGGACTGGAGGCATACCTCAGTGGTAGAGCACTTGCCTAGCATGTGAGAGGCCCTGAGTTTGATTCCCAGTAGTGCATACACACACACACACACACACACACACACACACACACACAAATCAGATAATACCTTTTACTTAGCATAAAATTGTCATATTTCATCCATGCTGCAGCATATATCACTACTATTCTTCTTTTATGGCTGAATAATATTCCATTATATAGATATACCACATTTTCTTTGTTTATTCATCCATTTGTAGACATTTGGATTGTTTCATTTTTCTGGGGGTAAATACAGAGGAGTGGAATTGTTGGGTCATATGGTATGTATTTCAAAATGATTGTATAATTTTACAATCCCAGCAATAATCTATGAACATTCAAGTTTCTCTACATTCTAGCCAATATTTGCTATTGTATATTTGAATAATGATATTCCAATGGTTTTTAAATATATATTTTAAATTCTATATGAACACAATGTCTATTTATTTTTATGTGGTGCTGAGGATAGAATCCAGTGCCTTACGTGTTATGCAAGTGCATAACCACTTAGCTACAATTCCAGCCCCCATTGAAATGGTTTGGATTTGCATTTCTCTAATAATTAATGGTATTGAACATCTTTCTAATTGTTTATTGGCCATTCAAGCCTTTTCTTTGGTGAAATAGGCACATTTTTGGTTATTTTTGGTTGTGTGTGGTGTTGGAGATCCAATCCAGGGCTTTGTCCATGCTGAGTAGATACTCATCACTCAACTATATCCCCAGCTCCTGATTTTAAATTATTGAATTAAAATAGTTTTAAAAAATATTTTCTGGGTACAGTTCTTTATCATATATAACTTCTAAATATTTTCTCACAGACTGTGGCTTTTCAATTTTTAAATTGTGGCTTTTGAAGCATGTTGTAAATTTTGTTGAAGTTCATTTTTTTTTTGTATTGTGCTTTTGGTCTCATATCTAAGAATTTTTATTTAAGACATATTTTAAAACTGGCTAATTCCCCCACTATGTCTTGGGCATATTTCTAAGTCATTGAGTACAGATCTGCATGATCATATTTGGACTTTGGTTTCTGGAAAGAGGAAAAAGGAGATAACAGGGCGAGGCTATTAAAAATGTCCAGTAGGAATCTATTTATTTTGGGGGGTCTTCCTACTTCCTTTATAGATCATCTCCTGTCTGGTGCCTCCTCTGTGCCTTGTAAATAAAAACTTCTCTTGGCTATTAATTTCATTACTTCATTTTATGTTTTAATACCTTGGTCACATGTTCTTAGCACCACAATTTCTATAGGTTTAAATCCTTCCATCACAGATTCTGTTTATAAGAAACGTATTTTTCCTCATGATCTGGGATGTGACAGCTGTTGCTTCCTGCATCTACTTTATTGTCTAAAGCTAGACTGGGCCTTGGGAAAGATTCAACTTCAGCTCAGGTACTAAAGTGTAGATTAAAAAAAAAATAATGGATAATGGCAATTGGCTTATGTGTTTTAATAGAAGACTTTAAGGGAGAAGGATGTCCCTGAATAAAACGTTGGTTATCATTTAAGAGGTTCCAATATGGGTGTATGGTTGTATCTTGATCCCTGTCTGGAGTAGAGCTTCACTGACTTCATGGTCAGGGTTTGTGGCATTGTGTAAAGCTGGAAGGAAATAATTTTCAGAGGGCTAACACTAATGGAGAAAATGCACTCTGAGGATTGTGTAGGAGGCCTCAGAATTAGAATGGGAGAAAGGCAAGTGAAGGGACTTCAGATCTCAGTTGCTGAAGACATCCAACTGTGGGCGAAATGGCCACTGAACAACCCTTTCAATTGAGAAGCCAAGTGAGGTGGCTATGCTCCTTTTGAGAACTACTCCCCTGAGGCTGTGGCCCAGAATATTCAAGGCAAGTACTAACTGGTGAAAAGCAAGGAAAGTGGGAGAGGGGTGCAAGTTAGCCCCAAGCACAATTGCCAATACAAGGTTAGAAAAGTGGTGATGAACAAAGAGGCTGTACCAGGTCAACAAAGAGCTGTTCCAAGCTGGTAGAATAGGAAGCTAACAAATGCAGAGCGAGATGAGTCAAAGTGCTTTAAGACTAGCCTAAGGTCTTCAACTGTTGTTTTTCAGGTGGAAAACAATAGCTAGGCATTGGAGGAGCCCTGGGGCTGGGTACTTAGAATACCTCAGAACAAAGAGAAATGGAGAGATCTGTTGGAAGCTACTGCAGATTGAGACTCTAGATGAAGGACTGGTCACATGGATGTATGGGAAGAACTGATCAGCAGGTCCAGGGATGGATTAGCTGTGCAAGTGCAGAGGAGACAAATGTGGCAGGAGATAGGGGATGGGGAGTTCACGGTGGGAACTCGGGAAAGGTAAGATCACGGAGTTTTTTAAAAATGTACACTTAAACACATAAAATGCACAGATCTTAAATGTATAATGAGTTTTGATAAACGTCTACATGTGTGTAACCCTCCCACCCCCATTCAGAGTCCAAATGAAGCTGCCTCAAATGCAAGAAGTGAGAAGAAACTAGGACTGGAACTATGTAAAAGTTATCTGGTTAACTGGAAAAGTTATCTGGGGCCAGGAGGTAGAAATCTTGGGAACAGATGAAAACGGGATAAATGGAGAAGAGCTCCAACTTTTAATATTTTGGGCGCACTTCAACCCCAAGTGAGGGTCTTATCTGCTGACACAGATGTAGAGATCTCTTCTCTCAGACTTTCAACCTTATTATCAAGGGAGAAATAAACCAATTTCTGAGTTTGCTGCTGCCAAGGTCTCCCATATTGAACCTGAAGAATGCTTCTCACTGGGGGGAGGGGAAAGGGGGGAAGGGAGCTAGACGACCCGACAGGTTTCTGCACCACCTCCAAGTAGCTCGCTGGACTCCTCTCCTGACCTGGGAGGCTAGCTTCCTCGGTGCAGCGAGCTCTGTCTGGCAGCCTGGCCCCCGGTACCCCAGAGAGCTATGAGGTCATGCTCTGCACCTCTGTGCGATTGCAGCATCCCTGCAGCAGCGCCCTGTTGCGTGTAGCTGGAGTGCAAGCTTGCACTCAGCGGGAGCACAGTGGCTGGAGTTGGGGGACAATGGGCGTGGCTGAGCTCCCTCGCGCCCTCTCCCGCCTCTGCAATCCCGGGAACATTCTGAAAAGTATCCAAAAGTTCTACACCGCGCGCCAAAAGAAAAAAAAAAAGGGCACAACCCCCCACCACTCCCGGCGCTGCGTGTCCCGACCTCGCCACTCGGGCTGCACCTCCGGCTGCTGCATACACGCCTCCTGCACCTCCTCCTCTAGAACCTAGCCGTCGGTTGGGTGCTTCCTTGCAGCCGTCTTCGGGCGTGAGAGGCGGTGTGAGTCCTTTTGCCGCTCCTTGGGGCAACATGCCCAACGACGACGCGTTCAACAAGCCCTCGGCACCGTCCGAGACCCCGCACGCCCCCGGGGCACCGCCTCAGGGCAAGTCCGGGGGCTTCGGGAAAGCTTCTGGGGCGCTGATGGGCGCTGGTGGAGGATCAGGCGCCGGGGGCAGCGGTAGCGGCTCCGGTTCTGGGGCATCGGGCCTGGGCGCCTCCAGCAAGAAGTCCCCGAGGCTGCCCAAGTGCGCTCGGTGCAGGAACCACGGCTACGCTTCGCCGCTCAAGGGCCACAAACGCTTCTGCATGTGGCGGGATTGCCAGTGCAAAAAGTGCAATCTGATCGCCGAGAGACAGCGCGTGATGGCCGCGCAGGTGGGTACGGGCGTCCGGAAAGGGGGGTTCAGTTCTGAGCTTTAGGGATAAAGTCCTTCGACGAGGCCAGAGTTAAGAAGGGCCCGGGATCGGGAATGATCCGGCTAGTAGAGCCGACGTTCGCAGCGCGCCGGAGACGCGGGACTCCCAGCCAGGGCCGAAGCCACTCAGGGTAGGCGGGAACGAGTCCCGGTCCCAGCCAGGGGAAATGCGGGGTTCACCCTGCTGGAAAGATCGCCCCAATCCTGCACTAGAGTTGCGGGGCTCGCTGCAGCGGCGGGGCCCCCAGATCTCCATTCCTGCCCTCCAAGCAGAGTTGAGTTTGTTCCGCTAGGGATTCTCCACGATCTCCGGGCCCCGCTTCAGCTCAGTTGCGGGGTTCGCTCCGCAGTGTGGGGGCGGCTGGGATCTCCAGCCTCGCTCTCGGAGCCGATCGCCGAGGGGTTCGCTTGGCTGGGCAGTCCCCGCGATCTCCACCGCGCACAGAGTTGCGGGGTTCGCTCCTCTCGGGGGTCCCAGGGACTACTCCCCGCTGAGCTGGGCTTAAATTAAGTAGGGTCCTTTGGAGCGCCGCGAGGGACGCTTTGTAGGGGCCAGGGGAGACCCTTGGGTAGCTGCGGAACGCGACGCCGCGTTTGTTTTTCTGGAAAAGTCCCTGGGATGGACGCCGCAGCGGCGTGGTCTCCGGCTCCTGGTGCACTTGGCGTCCTCGCCCGCGGCGGCTCCGGGCCGATCGCCTCAGCCATTTTGAGCAAATGGAAATGCTAGTATTTTAAAATTCGCTATCTGGCCCCAAGTTATGGGGGGCCAGATATTTTGACTATATTTAAGAATTTAAAAAAAACTCCTGGGTTTGAAGCTGGTCGTTAATTTTTATTTTTAATTTTTAATGGCTTCAACAGGACGCTGGTAATTTAGCAAGTTAACGAAAGTTCACGTCTTTGGTTTCCTAAAAGGTTTTTAAAAGGTAATAATACACATTCTTTCCAGCTAAAAGTTGTTTCATCTTTTAAAGATAGATTATTTAAAATGAAATGACACCAAAGAAGTGTTTTCCAGTGGTGTGCTGCTTTTGATTAGAAACGTGTAAAATAGCCCTTTTTAAAAAAAGATCTTAAGTTGAACATAACTGCACAAATGCTTAAAGATCGTGTACTTTCTACGTGCATCAGAGTTTTAAGCACAGAGAAGTTAAAACATTTAAAATTACAAGTGTTTTGTCTTCAGATATTATAAGGGCAGTTACTGAAAATATAGGTAGTTTTTTCATAGAACTTAATCTGTAGTGAATTGTTATGCTGGATGTAACAATAAGGTGCATCACAATGAGATTTAAAACATTTAAATATATAGGCAAGAAAGTATTCCGGACTTTTGATCATTGGCTTAAATATTTAACGTGGAGCAATACTCAGGGAATTTTTCTCAAAATGTAATAAAGATATACGAATAGGGGCATTAATTTTGAAAACCCTTCCTAGAAGGACTAATTTTGAGGAGACAGCTGAATTAACAACAAAAACGACCCAAGATTACTTTTAGAATATGAACTTCAGGATTTTTTGTACCAGAGGATTTGTGTTAGGCTAGATGAGCCCTTAAAAATCTATATAGCAATTACTTTCTAGTTATTCTAAAATAGTTTGAGATTGATATTAGATGAATAAAACAACTACATTTGCAATCCATTGCCAGCCCCTTTCCCGTGTAAATAATGTTCACTAACAAACCTTGGAGAAGATCTTTGTAAGGGCATCCTTAGTTTGTGGACTAGATAAGCTGTGCCTTTTGGATGTGCATGAGGTTTGTGTAAATCAAGGTACAAGTATGTATTAATATTTTAGAGGTTTGCAGGGTTTTAAAAAACTTACTTCTGAGCAGTCATTGATAATGCTGTTTCCAAGCCCTTGGTTAATAGCAGAAAATCCAAGATATATGCTTAAATAATTATCCAAGGTTTAGTTTTCTAAGGTGATGACTCTTTTGATTATGAGTGAAATTTACTTCCACATGAATCAGCTAACTTTGGACTATATAGTTTTCCTAAGCCAATACATAGATTGTAGCTGGATTTCTGATTTACCATTTTGATTTTACCTTTTCTCTTGTCTTTGAGCCTTTAAAGTGTAGGGTGCTTCATTTTTCTCCTTTTATGACCACCAAGAGTCAAGTTCAATAGAAAGTCTCTTTGTTACAGGTAGTAAACAAAAATACAACTTGTTTTAAGCCTCCCCCCCAATTTTTAACAATGTTATTAAAAAGATTATAAACACAAGAAGCCCCTTAAAGTGTTTCCTAAGTATGTCAGATTCTTACCTGTCTCAATTCTGTCTCTCTTTCCCTGCCTAGACGCCCCCGCCCCCAAACCTGTCCTCTCCCTTGCTCCTCACCTCCCACCTCTTCTTCTTCCAGGGACTTTCAACACCAGATTCCAGCCTCCTTGCTCTTCCTTGCTTCTCCACATGCTCCCTCACCCTTGGGGAAAAGGGTTTTGTGGGGTTTCATTTCCTAGCTGCTCTGTTCCATATTATTCTTACCCCTTTTTCCTTCCCTGTGTGAGTGCTAACTCATTCCATGGTTCAGGTCTCTGCTGCGTTTCTACGCAGGCTGATTCTTACATTTTTGCTGTAGATTGGTGTTTGCTTCTCATCCTATTTTGTAGTGGATGCTTACTTGCTTCTTGTTTCTCCTTTTAAATGGGGAGGAATCTGGGATCTAATGTAAGCTTACTGGTCACTGTTTCCAGTACAGTGGTCTTTTACATATTTGTGGGGTGAAGGAGTCCAGTGCTTCCTAATCCATCAGTGTGTTTTCTACTCTTGAGACTGAACTCCCCTCTTTGGATGAGTTTTTCCTGATCCTTGTTTCCTGATAGTTTGCACACTCATGTGTTTTGGGGATATCTATAATGGGCCAGATACCCTGACTTTATATCATTTTTCAACTTTGGCTGCACATCCTAGTTACCTGGACAGCTAGGTAAGAGAAATGAGAAACCTCTTTATGTTCAGAGCCTATCCTTGGAACTGGTGATTCTAGAGTGCTGGAGAATGATTCACTGTCCTATGCTTCCAGGTGGCTCTGAGAAGGCAGCAGGCGCAGGAGGAGGAACTGGGTATCAGCCACCCCATCCCGCTGCCCAGTGCAGCTGAGCTGCTTGTCAAGAGAGAGAACAACGGTGGCAACCAATGTCTCATGAATGAGAGCAGCAGCTCTTCTCAGCCACCAGCAGCCAGTACACCCACAACAGCGGCCTCAGGTAACCTGGGGGGCGGGGGCTGGGGTTCACATTGGGGTCTGGCATGAGGAAGGAGTGCTGTGCCTATAAAAACAGACTCAAGACCCTCCTGGGTCACCTGTAACATTTACAGCTTGGAGGAATTTCTTAAGGAATTCTCCTTCTGCTTTTGTCTGCCTCACAAGGAGATGGCCATGGCTTCTAGAAGTGAAGGTTCAGCAACTTTACTTTCCTGTTGATAGTTAATAGTCACAATCACATAATGTCAGGGAGGAGTGAGATTGTTCATGTTTCATATTGGTCCACCCCTCTGTTTTGGGGTCTAGTTGGGTAGGTGCTAAAGATCCTCTTTTCTTAGAACTGAAGTTTATTTCGTCAGCAAGGAACAGCATCCCTTTGGGAAAAGTGTCTGAAAAGGCCAAAACCTAAGTGTCAGATATGGATGAACTTGGGAAGGAATAGGGAAAGTGTGTCATGTAGGCTTGTAGTCTCTCCCATGTGCTAAGCATTGTGCTAGGGGCTTCATATGTGCCAGTTTGTCTTCCTTCCTCCTGGAGTCATTCTCTTAAGTAGGAGGTAGTAGTCCTTTTTAACTTCATGAAGACAGAGGTGTAGGAGGTTAAGTTCATGGCCAAGATGATTGAACTAGAAAGCATATCAATCAGTCCATCTGTCTCCCAAGCTCAGTGTGCTTGGTGCACTGGGTCTCCAAATTGCTTCAGGAACCTCAGTGGTCTGGAGCTCACTGTTCACTATGGAAGCCTCCAGCCATAGGTAATTATTTAATAAATAAATTATTAAAAATAAAAAGAAAACATTTGGTTTCTCCTTTGATCCACATTTTGAGTGTTCATTAGCCACATATTGCTAAGAGCTGTCATATTGGATGATGCATTTCTGTTTCTCAGAAAGTTTCATTTGATGGTGCTGTTCTGGAATGCAGAGAACCTCTGAGAAATCCACCAAAGATGTGGAATTTTGGAGTTTCTGGCAGTTAAATACAGTAATCCCCCCTTCTCTGTGGGGCATAGGTTTAAAGACCCAAGTGAATTCCTGAAACCTAGGGTAGTACTGAACCCTACATGTATATGTATATTTATATATATGTAAATGTATATATTTGGAATAAATGTTTTTGTCCTACATATTCATACCTGTGGAAAAGTTTAGTTTATAAATTAGGTACTATATGATTAATAATATCTAATAATAAAATAAGGCAATTACAACAATGAAAATTATTTAAAACTTGTGAATCGTTTGTTTATTCAATTTTCCATTGAATGTTTCTGGATCATAGTTGACCTCAGATAAATGAAATAGCAGAAAGTGAAACTCTGGGTAAGTGGGACTAATGTATATGGGCTGAGATTGTCTTTAGGATCTACCATGGTTTCATGAAATATGGCCTTGCCATGTGGTACCATCTTTGCTAAGCTCGTATGAGTTACTCAGTTTGCTGTGCTTAACCACTAGACTAAAGTTGCTCAGCTGCATATCCAAAATTAGCTGTGAAATTTTGGAATAAGTCACTTAAGCTCTGTGGGCAGTTTGTTTCTGGTTCTCAAAAATGAGGGAGAGGGTTCTTAAAGATTGCATGAGTCTTTGCCATTGTGGGGAGGAGAAGATAAGTGCACAACAGGGAAAGCAGGTAGGTGTGTTACTGGAGCTACAGGTTCTGTAATGAACAAAGGACAAGGTAAAGATGCTCCTTGACTTATGTACTGATAAATCCAACGTAAATTGAACAATTCCTAAATCAAATGCAATTAATATGCTTAACCCACTGAACATCTCAGCTTAGTAACATAGTACAATGTGCAGTACCAGTTGTTTATTACCCTTACGATCATGTGGCTGGCTGGGAGCTGCTTTTGCTGTGCAAAATTGAGAGGATCATATCCCATATTGCTAGCTTGGGAAAAGATCAAAATTCAAAATATAGTTTCTACTGTTTTTTTTCCCCCCAGCATTGGGGATTGAGTGCAGGGCCTCATGCATGCTAGGCAAGTTCTCTGCCACTGAGCTATGTCCCAGCCATTATGGTTTTCTTTTTTAATATTTATTTTTTAGGTGTAGATGGACACAACACAATGCCTTTATTTTTATGTGGTGAAAGTGTGTCATCTTTGCACTGGCTTTTGTACCATTTTAATGTCAAAAAATTGAAAAAAATTGAACCAGTATTGTTTTTTTTCTTTTTTTGGACTGGTTGTTCATAGTGTATACATAGAACAGTTTCCAAACTTTGCTTTCCATAGGGCAAAACAGGTTCTGGCAGAGTGTTTCAGAGTGGCAATAGGAGGAGAAGTAACAGAGAGGAGTCACAGGGTAGAAGGATTTAGGGGTCAGAGTCAAGGAGGATGCGCCCAGATCCCTTGCTTGTCTCTAGAGTAACATACCTTGTAGTATCCTGAACTCTTGATCAGTACTCAAAGGCAAGGGGAAGTTGAACCTAATATGTGTTCTGCTCTTTTGCTTGGGCATAGGTGGGTACTCATGGCTCTGGGAGGCTATGCCTCCCAAAGGAAGGTGGGTGTCCCACTAGACAGTTCATCTCTGGGACACGATGGTCATCCTTTGCAGGATTTCTATCAAACCTTTGGAGTTGGAATTAATAATTAATATGGACTGAGGATTTGAGTGAGAGGGAGGTAGGGAAGTTAGAAGAATACCAATTACAGAGAGAAAGAGGGAGAAGGAGGGTGAGATTGTGAAAATGGGAGAGGCAGACAGAAGATGGGTCCTACAGCTTTTAGGTGGCTAATGGAGACAAGTTTCTTAGATAACTTGGCACTAACAAGAATATAGCTTACTTTATGTTTTTTCAAGATTGTATGTATTTGAAGTAACATTTAACTATTGCAAAGTAAAGAGCAAACATTTGTAGTAGAGTCCAGAACCTATTTAAGGAAAGAACATTGCTTTTCCAGCACCAGTCTTGAGTTTCACCTCTGTCATCCTAGGATTACTTGCTACATGTCCAGGCGTTTGTGTGTAGTTTTTCTTTCCATATAAGTATGTGTATGTATGTACATATACATATAATATATATATGTACATACATGTATGTATACGTATATACATATATACATATGTGTACAGATAAATAATATTTACCTGTTTATAATGGGAGTGTGTTTGCACCCGTTGTCATTAGCTTTGTAACATTTAATGCAGCTTGGAATTTTTAAAAAATATTTTTTAATTTGTCAATGGACCTTTATTTTACTTATTTATATGTGGTGCTGAGAATCAAACCCAGTTCCTCACACATGCTAGGCGAAGCTCTGCCACGGAGCTACAACCCCAGCCCCAGTTGGCATTATTAAAGGCCTAGAATTCTTTTATGTAGATGTGGAAGGCCAGGGTTTGAAATGATATAGTGAGAGTTGAAAGTTGTAGGAGTTGTCATGGAATAGTAAGACCTACTGACCTGGCTCACCTGGGTGCAGTTGCTAACCTCCTTCCTACCCCTGCTCCCTAGGGTCTGTTAGGCCAGTTGCTTGGTGAAATTGAGTAGATTTTTATGTCCTTGAAGTTTCTTAGTTATCTCCTTTTGGCTCCTTAAAGTGCCAAAAGTGAGACTAAAAAATGCTCAAGAATTACTGCAGAGATTATTGGCTGAATTCTAAGGACACTTCAAAGTAAATTGGATTTACCAAGCTGTGATTCATTTTTTGGAGAACTAAACCTTATAAATAGGATAATGCACATTAGAAGACAGTCCTTGGTCAAAGGCTGGCTAACAATGACCAAAGGATTTATTGGATATCCTCGAAGATGGATATAAGAGACTTTCGTTGTTTTTTTCTTTGATTGTGGGGAAAAAAAATAGCCCTTTGAAGAAATTGTTTTGTTGCTGATTTTTATACTAGTAGGATTAGATGGTAGCAGGTATGTTATTGATTAGAAAAGTTTCTTCCTGATCATTTGTGGGGCACAGAGCAAAAAAAGATGAACATTTTTTACTATAAAGGACCATGAATTAATTAGCAATCTCAGCATTTTCTGTGTGCCTTCATGTTTTTAAATATTAGCATAAAGTATACTTTTTTATTTCAAGTTATCAGCTTTTGAAAAAAATTGGGACTTCTTTCTTTGTAAATTTGGGCTCATCTGTTTTATTTTACATTTTACTTTTCCTTCAACCTCCTGTGCACACATAGAACACTGTTCTACCCAGTATGTTCCCTGAGGTCTGCATAGTTTTTCATCTCCTTTTCTGTGCAGAAACTGTCAAATGAAGGGCTGTATTGTAGAGAACTTGGTTCTGCATGCATGTCCTTTGTGAGGACCTGAATGTTATCTCCTGGACCCTCCCTTCTGGAGCACCCTGGACTTGCATCCACATGCACATCCACCCTCCCCCAGATCAAGCTACCTCCTACCGTCTGGGGTTTTCCTTGGCAGCTTCAGCCTTTCCTGCAGCCCATGGCCCTATTTCCCTCCCCTTCCCCTGTTGGAAGGGTAGCGCTGGTCTGTGCCTAATAGTGGAGGGGCAGGAATTCACTTCTTCAGCAGGAATTCACTTCAAGAGAGTGCAGGCCAGAAGAGGAGCATATTTCTTTGTAGGTCTTGAGGACTTATATATTTTACAGATACGAAAAGTTTTTCCTAGTCATTTTTGGGGTACAGAGGAAAAAAAAGATGAACATTTTTGGCTATAAAGGACCATGAATTAATAGCAATCTCAGCATTTTCTCTGTGGCTTTATCTTTTAAAATATTAGCATAAAGTATACTTTCTTATTTCACAATTCCAGTTTGAAAATGGAAGAATGTCCCTGGGGTTTTGTTTGTTTGTTTGTTTTGGGTATTGAGGGTTGAACCCAGGGGTACTTTACCACTGAGCCACATCCCCAGTCCTTTTTATTTTTTATTTTGATATAGAGTTTTGCTAAGTTGCTGAAGCTGGCCTCAAATTTGTGATCCTCCTGCCTCAGCCTCTTGAATTGCTGGAATTACAAGTGTGTGCCTTGTGTGGTTTTTATCAGTGAGAGATGGGACTGATGAATAACA